CCCAACCGGGGGTACCAGAATAGACCCCCAAATGATGGGTGATACACGTCCCAGGTTGCCCAACATGTGACCCGATATTGTACAATATTGTTCGATATTATATAATATTGTATAATATTATACATCATTGCGAATATTGTTCAATATCGTACAATATTCTACAATATCTTTGTGCTACTGGCGATAGCGAGATTTTATTCATCTTGAGGCGTTGTTTCAAATTAGGCCTTAACGCCATTGAAGTTGTTGCGAAATTGGTATGAAGGAGTTTTCTGTTTTGTTTACTTACATTAAAAAGCTTGACTTATTATTTGCAAGGCTTTTTGACTTCCGTTTTGAAGATTCCGTTGACTACCCAGATAGTGTTGTAGCAAGTTTGTAGATAAGTTTGTAGCAAGTTTGAATTTGACTTGATATTACCTTGTCATCGCAAATTTGACGCGTCAAGCTTGAAGCGAATTTGTAGCAAGTTCGCAGTGACAACTAGCGCCACCTCCATGCAATGCAAATTTGCTGCAAGTTTTCAAAACAAGCTTGGTGCAAAGATAGCACAAAGAGACAATTATCTTTGTCTCTGTTTTAAAAAAACACATCCGATTTTAATAGCATCTCCTAGACCGTCCTTCTTTTTATTAATTCAATAAATCAATGATAATTTGTAAAAAAACTAGCTTTTTTATAAAAAAAAATTTTGAAACATTTTCCATCTTTTTACTAAATATAACACTCGCACTTTAAAGAAAACTATATCGCCTTTTTCTTAATGTTGAAATTTTAGCGTTTATAAACAAAATTAAACCGCAAAACAGTCAATGTTTGTTGAAAAATAAACTTATACATTTTGTCCCATTTTAAAGTAATTACTTTTGAACTCTAATTTCATAATTTATTCTACTAGCAAAACGTAGTTATTAGCGAAAATCGCTCTCTCTTTGACTTCAAATCATATTCTCCTCTCAAAAAATTAATGAAATCAAGAAAATAGTTTAAAATAAATCGCATACGAATCGAATCGAACGATGTATTAGCGAAATCTATCTTCTCCTCTCAGAGTTTAACTGGCCGAATGGTTAGCGCGTCTGCTTCGGAACCGGTAGATCGCGAGTTCTATCCCGAGTTGTGTTCGTACTCGGTTTTTGCAATGAGTTTGAAATGCAAGCTTGCTGCAATTTCGTGCCATGGTGACTTCGAAGCCTATGTTAACTTGCTGCAAACTTGCTTCACACTTGCACTCTTGTCAAACTTGCTGCAGATTTGCAGTGCAAGTTTGCTGCAAACTAAAATTACTATCTGGGTTAGCATTACACCGGAATTATGTCGTTACGGCATTTTAATATAAATAAACAAAGCAGAAAACTCTCGTCCATA